TCCATAATCCTTCTGAATAATGATATATTGTTATTTAGAGTATATTATTGTTGTTAAGACATGTATGGTTCACCAGTGATAGAGGAATTTCAGGTAAGATTAATTGCATATTTGAATGGACTGTATCTGTAACTTTGACCAGATTTCTTCACCTTTTTTTCAGCGTCAGTGTACACATTTTATCATGACTGTTGTGAGGACTAATGAAGCTATAAATGGAAAATGTACAACTGAGTGTCTGGCAGACATTCTGCAGCCATCTTATGTTATTTGTGCCCTCAGTATTCACCCTCCTTTCAAGTGCTTTCTAAAGGTTGTGATGATTTTTGCAGAGACTGGTGGGTGATGCTAATGAGCATAATTCTCATCTCTAGCATTGGAGATTATGAGCATAGAGTAAGAAAAAACACTGGTACAGTTACTTTTTAATTTAGTGCAAATAGGAAAAAACTTGGCTGCTGCTTTTTTTTTTCTTTTTCTTTTGTACAATAAAGAAACTCCTGAAAGGGCACAGTTGGGGTGGGGTGGGGTGGAAGTAATTATTGGAATAATCTTTTGGAGTGCGTAATGGATAATATGCCAGTAATAAAGGTAGTAAAATTCATTTTCGGTGGGAGGAGTCATCACCAAAAAGAACTTAGGAATGATAGGTTAGTTTTTCAAGTATGTCATTTTTTGTTGTTGTTGTTCATGATTTTTATTTGGCACATGGGTATTACTATTTGAAGATCTTATCAGATTGTGCTGCTAGGAATATTTCTCTCATTTGTTTAAAAGATAACACAGTTTGTAACTTTCCTGGAAATACTTGTAAAACCATGATGAGGGTTCACAATAGGCTATATTTAACAGTCAACTGGCACAGTCTACAGTGTATGAACCTTTTGTTTCCTGAGTTTTTGTTTTCTTGTTTCTTGAAGTTTCAGTAATGTAACAATATGGCTAGACCAGAGAATGGTTTTTCTAAGGGTTATCTCTGTGAAGGTCTTATTACATTATGAAACTTGAAGATATAAGCAAAAGGAAGTCAGAAGGAAAAAGACAAAACGCTGGTTGGTTTCACTCATATAGAATATAAAGAAATAAAAGGAAAATGACAGACAAAACTGGTGCAGCAGACTTCTCCTGACCCGCCCAATGCTCCCCTCAGTAGTGCACTTCCTCAGCCTGCCTGTTCTGCTCTCCAATTTGTCTCTGGTGAAGCCTCTCACCTCCCCCACACCTCTGGCTTCTATCTCAGTTCTGTATGCATAAATAAAAAAATCTTAAAAAAAAAAAAAAGAAAAAGAAAAAGCCAGGACATTGACCTGTGGATTATGCTGGAAGATATTGGTACTTTGGTGTTAGATGTGGTGTGGTAACATACCTGAAGATGTGTGAACCCATACACCTAAAATACACAGTGTCATAAACCAGCATTACCTCAAAAAAAAAAAAATTATTCAGTTAAAAAATCGTGATTGAAAATAAATAGCAATTAAATATGTAAGTGGCATGGAATTTGCTAGTGTGAAGTTAATGTTTGAATACACAATAGCATTCATGTATTTAAATTTGCTTTGACCCCAAGCAGAGGTAAACCAAACCCTTTAGTTGCAAAACCTTTTTCTTCCTGCCTTATAAAAGAGACCAATAAGTTTTTTAAAGTTATAAGTGATTTTTAATTTATTTCAGAATTTAGGATATTTAAAGTGCCTGGGGCGGGGGACTTGAATGTGTCTAATCTTTAAGTTTTCATTTTTTGTAGTTCAGATATTAAATTGACATGTTACTACTATGTGAGTCCTTGGAAATGTTTTAATTTTTGAAAATTCATTGTTCTAGTTACTTTGTTTCTATAACTTAAAAAATAGACTTTCACCAATGCCTTTTAGGATTTCAGAATTACTTTTAAGTGACATGACTAAGTTGGCTCTGCCTTTGAGTTTTTTTAATTATTTCTTGTCCTGTAGCCATGTAAGGACCTGTGCAAAGACTGGTAAGTATAGCTGGGCACGCCAGTTTATCCTTTTAGCAGAACGGTCCAAGTCATTCACGATTTTGCATCTTTTTATTATTCAACAGCAGTTTCTTTTTGGTTTTGGCTTTCAACAATCTACCTTCAAAGATGCTTTTTTTTTTTCTGACAGTGAAAGACACTGGCACAGTGTCCTCACTTTTAGACAGTTGTTTAAAGGAATTTTCAGACAAGGATGAGCAGGTCATATCCAACAAAGAGTTGAGACCCTAATTAGCCCAATAGTTTAGTGAAAAGTATTTTGAATTCTTTATGTAATAATTATACTCTTGGCTTATGAATGTATCACCTTGTATCACCAAGTATCACCTTGTTTTGTTGAAATGTTTTCATGAGTGATTTTTGCAATGGTAATATATTTCTACTTTTTTAAATGAGCTTTAGGAACATATGATTAGTCTCCACAGTTGATTTAAGTGAACCTGTCTGATCCTTAAAGCAAAGTACACAAGGGGCATTAAGATGCCTAGTTATTTCCTTAATACACTAAGTGCAGTCATTATTTGAAGTGCTTTCTATGCTTTAATTAATTCATTTATAAAATTTTATAATACATATTTCTCTTTCTCCATCTCCAGATTTATGTTTCATAAAAGTTAAGTTGTTTCTGAAATAGTCCATGTCAGAAGTATTCTAACTTAAACTGTAGATTCTGTTTAAATTTCCACTAAGTTAAAGGAATTCTCCATCGCTAAGAAGAGAAGTAAAAGAGAGTTAGGGGAACTAACGTGGTGTTTGTGGGTAGAGAGAACAAGTTTCCCTGGAAAGGTGCTGATTTGTCCTGAGTGAATACCAGTCATTAGGGGAAGTCATAAGGAAGTGAATGGTGGGGCCTGCTTTGCCTGGTGGATCTGGGAGCCCATTGAGGTGAAGGGTGGAAAAAGCAATGAGCTTTGAGAACTTATGCAGTAGAATTTTAAAAGATATTACACATTGAATAAGGTTATAAATTTTGTTAGAGACCCAGAAGGAGGATGATTAATAGAACTTGTAAACAACAAAAATGAAATAAATGGTTGGGGCCAGTGGGTGAACTAGAAGCCTTGTGTGAGATTTCCAAAGAATAAGAGAGAAACACATGTTTTAAAGAATTCTCTCCATAAAACAGATGTTGAGTAATCACTATCTTTGAATGAACCTGGTATATCTTGTAGACATTTGCCCCTTTCTTACTATGTTCATTAGTATGTGTATTGTTCGATACATTTATTCCATGGCAGCAGTTTTGTGTGGAAACATCGGGGGTGGGGTGGGGGGTTGAAATTTGACAGGCCTAGATTTGTATCTTGTTTTTGTTTATATGTGTCTTGTGTAAGGTACTATTTGACTTTCTCATTCTCATTTTTTACCCTGAGATATGTCTGATAAATTATTTTAAGGCACACAACTCAATGAACTGATATTTGTATGTATTGACTAATGATCTGTGTGTCCGGTTAACATATTGATGGGTGCTTTATACTTTTTTTTTTCATAATGAGAACTTTTAAAAACTATTCTTCTAGCAACTATGAAAATACAAATGTCAATATTATTGACTGATCACTATGCTACATGTATATTGTGTCCTCATGACTTATTTTGTAATGGAAGCTTACCCTTTTCACTACCTTAAACCCTTATGCTCATACCATAACACATGTCTCTGCTTCTGACAGGTACCAATCTGTTCTGTTTTTGTCTTTTTTTTTTTTTAAAGATATTACATAGAAGTAAGATTGTACAGTATTTATCTCATTTATCATGACTGTAGGCTTTATTCATGTTTTAAATTGCAGGATTTTCTTCCTTTTTATGGCTGAATAATATTCACCAGTTTCTATACATATACATGTATACATACACACACACATACATATATCTATGTGCATATGTATTTTTCCATGGCTTGACTACTGTAAATACTTTTGCCACAGTAAATATGGAAGTTCTGATATCTCTTCAAACTAGTGATTTTATCTCCTTTGGATATATCAGAGAAGTAGATTTTTTGTGTCATGTTTTTAATATTTTAGGCATCTCCATACTGTTTTCCATCATGGCTGTACCGGTTTACATTTCCACCGATTGGGTTCCATTTTTTCCACAAGTACTCCACAAGTACTGCAAGTACTTGTTCAGTCTTGTCTTTCTAATAATAGCCATCCCTGGAGATCTGAGAAGATTTCTTACTATGGTTTTGATTTGCATGTATTACCTGATTTACCTTTCCTTCTCCGTCTCTTCTGGTAGCCATCATTTTGTTCTCATAGTCTAAGAACTATTTTTGTTTTGTTCATTTATTTTAATCTTTACCTACTATATGTCATTCAAATTTTGCAGTGGTTGCCATTCTGTGTATCACTTCACTTAGGGTAATGTCCTTTAGGTCCATCTATGTTGTTGCAAATGGAAAAATTTCACCATGTTTTAATTTGGTATTTTTAAAGGTAATGTTCTATGTTTTGACTTTGACTAACATAATCCTGGAAAGCATTCATTGGACATAATGTTACTATTTTTTTCTGAATTCAAGGAGTGAAGCTATCTGAAAAGTTTTTAAGGATGCTTTTTCGTATGAGAATGCTATATTACCTATTCTATCTTAAAAGTTAATGTATATTTTTATCATTCTGATTACTACAGTACATAGAAGCAATACTAAAATAGATTTATGATGGTGAAAGTAGTGTTAGTGATTTAAACAAAAATTATTAATCATTGTAAATGTTTTAAACTTTTATGGATATGTGCATTTGAAAACACCATGTGGTTTGTTAAACCATTTACAAATAGTTGAAACTTAAAAGAACTCTAAATTGCACATTTCTGTGCCTGGTTGAAATAAAATAAATATAAAACATGTTAGTTGACATGTTTTGTGTACTTTTATATAAGATGGCAAATGTTATTAAAATAACTGTTCAGTATGTTTTTTTTTCCATGTTAAGTGTATACTGTCTTTAAAAAAATTGACCTTTATTTTTTGCTGTGATTTGAACAGGTGTCTCAACGCTTGTACCTACTGCAAAACTAAACATGCCAGAGGAAATTTGGCCAGTTATCCAATTGATGAACTAGTAGATAGAGCTACACAGTCTTTTCAAGGTAAGATTTTCTAGAATTCTATGTGAATTTAGTCTCCTTAACAAATTTAGTCAGTAAAGATAGCCCTCTTCATCTACAGGGCTGTCAGACAAGTGAAAAAGGTAGGTACTGGAGAGAATGAGTGATCCACTCCTGCTGAGTCATCTGTTGCTGGAAAATGTGATGTGTAGACAACTCAGTATATAGTAAGATGTATTTTCAGCATGAGTTGTGGTTGCATTGACATAGAACTGCTTAAACTCTAAACTTCCTCTTTTATCTTTATGATAAGTGTCTAGTTTTACGGATTTTTACACCCAACATGCAGTGATCTACTGTCTCCTGATCTGTGGCTTATCTTGCTAATTATTGATAATGGACATTTTTTTTTAAGCCAGGAATTTGGAGTGCTAATTTTAGCACTTCATACTTGAATCTCAGAAAGTCTGAGTTATAAATACATTCATTCAATGTATTTAAAGCTAAAATAAATCTATTAGCATGAATTTAGAATGTCCTTAAAATACAGAGAAACCATTGATCAATTTATTAATAGCTGCCAACTTTTGTATTTTGCTGTTGTTTTCTTACCCTAGACCCTTTTTCTATTCTCATGCAGCTAGCATTGAAAGAAAAGTAAAATGAAACGCATTGCCAATGTTTTATTTCAGAGACAGGGAATTATATTAGCTTAGGAAAAGTCTGAATGGTAATCTTTTCTATAAAATGACTACTTACAGGATTTTTCAGAAATCGTTATTTAAAAGATGATGCCTTTGCTGACATTCTTAACTGTTTATTTTTTCTTTGCCCGTGTATTTGTCAGATATTGAAACTATATCATCTTCCAAACACTATACATTTGAAAGCATATGAATCAGTTTCTTCAAGATACTTTTCATTATTACAAATTTCTGAGTATAACTACAAACATCTCATTTTAATCTAGAAGTTTATTTAATAAATAAGGTCAAAATATACTTATATGCCCTCATATTTAGCTTCACCTCTGGCCTACGCTATAATGAAGTCAGAGTCAAAGTCATCAGGCAACTATAGATCAGAGACATTCTGTAGAGGAGGAGAAGGGAGAAGACCAGGACCTGTGGGAAGAGCACAGGGACTATGGTGATGATGCACGGGGTACTGGGTGGTGGGAATTTCATGGAGAAGCCAGCCGTTGTACAAAAATGGGGGATGATGTAATGAATATATATTTTTAAAAACGAAAAGCTGTGTTAAAGTGAAGAAATTTAAAATGAATCTGTCCAATTTTGAGTGAGAATATTGTAATGCCCTTAACAGACATAAGTTATCTGAATCAAATCATTTCCTCTTGCTTCTAAAATAGGTTTTATTTATGAAAACAAAACAAAAAAATTCTCTGTAGATAGAAACAGCTTAGTATGATGGTACTTTCATTTTCTAGTTTTAGGAAATGCAAATCTATGCTGAGCGTGGCCTTTTAACCCCTTTCTACAATTGGAATCATCAATCTTCATCTCACATTGCTATCTTTTATTTATTGCAAGTAACACATTGGCTTGCAACACACGGTATGTTCTATGAGTTCAGATTCATGCCTCTTCAAATGTATGGCAGCACACCCTGCGCATCACTAAAGGGCTATTCAGTCTCCACAGCAGCTCGCTGTGATCCCCTCTGCCTTTCGCTCCTCCACCCCCAAGTTCAGTTTTTGCAGTTAAATTCCAAGGGTTTGATTTAGCTTGGCTTTGCCTGTTCCTTTCTATTTCACAAATAAATGGAGTATCTGGTACATGTCCTCTTTCTGACTTATTTTACTTAGTATACTTTCTTCCAGTTCTGGCATGTTGTCACATATGACAAGATTTCGTGTTTTTTATTAGCGGTGTAATATTCCCTTCAGTATATATATCAGTGTGCTGTATCTTCCTTACCCGTCATCCATCAGTGGAGACTCAGGTTGTTTTCATGTTTTGGCTTTTGTAAATAGTTCTGAAAATGAATATAAGGGTGTATTTATCTTTTTGAATTAGTGTTTTATAGTCTTTGGATAGAAACCGAGAAGGGCAAGTTAAGTTTACATTTTAAAGACAGTATTGAGTAGCATAATCTTTTTTTTTAAATTTTTTTTTAAAGATTTATTTATTCATACAGAACTGGGGTATAGGCCAGAGATATGGAGGGTGAGAGGATTCACCAGACAGAGAGTGGGGAGCAGAACAGGCAGATCGACGAAGTACACTGCTGAGGGGAGCAGCGGGCGGGTCAGGAGAGGTCTGCCACGCCATGTGGTCACCTCCGGGGCAGGTGGGAATCGAACTCATGAGGAGTTGGCTTAAGCTTCTTAGTGCAGTGCTTTTACCCGCTGCGCCACCAGGGAGGGCCAACATAATCTTTTATCTTGCAAAAAAGAAAGGGATTTTAATAGTCTTGAAGAATTCCTAAGTTTGAGCTTTAGCATTGTCAAGGATAGTTAATTAAATTAAGTATAATAGAAGATACAACCTGCGGATTTTTTTTTTGAACCTGTTACAGTCTGATGGTTGAAGATGCTAAGAGCTATATCAAAGACAAGGATATATGCAGAAGAGATTCTGAAGTGATCATGAAATCACCCTGAATTAAAAAAAGGCTTCTAAAGTACCCATATATACCGATTTCACATTCTGTTGCCAAAACGTGTGAGAGCTTATTAACTTTTTAATATTAAATATAGAATTAAAGTAAAAAGTATGTGTATTTGTAAATAGAAGGTTTTGTTTACCTTTTACAGATATATTTAATTGGTCTCTCCGGCACATGCCTGCCCTTGTCTCATCCCTTGACATTTTCATGGACTATTGTTACCTTCTTAGGGTATTTGTTTTTGTGGGCTTCTCTGCCTGTGAGTGTAAAATTTAATCTTGTCTATCTTGCTGTTCTAATAAACTACATGAAAACCCCTCACTTTCCCTTTTTTACCCCTGAGATTCTTGAGTTAAAAAAATTTCTAACCACGTAGTATTTGAGGGCTAGGGTTTGATGTGGGTGCATTTTAGATATCTAGAAAAACATGTCAAGCACTGACCAGGACTTTGTTGGGGCCAGGATGAATTTACAAGGTGGTGTTTTCTAGGATATTTGTATTGATTTTCCTCTAGCAGCTAATCAATCAGCTTCAGTTGTGTAAGTGATGGAGCAAACCTTTTTAAGTGTGCTGGGTGAGTGGTGTGGAAACAACACCTTTCACTGCTGTCTCTGGAATCAGAATGTAGAGATGATGGATGAGCTGTTTTTATAGCTATCGTGTGCTTTTCTAGATCTCATTTGTGTGTTGCTACTTTTCCCCCTCTTTCATAAATCTGAGCCCCACCCCGCCCCCACCTCCACACACAGGATAAGTGGCATAAACCAGTTATGGAAAGGTAAATAAATTGAGATGAAATATTCGAGCAGGGAGAAAACTATTTAATATTCAGTGATCAGTGCAAATGCTGGAATTTTAAAAAATTGAACTCTATCTTATTTTAAGACTTGCAAAGCTATTATGTGGTGTATATGCTTAATTGTGAAACAACTGTAAACATTGCTTCTTGCCTTTTTAGGTAGGTAAAAGAGCATGAGCAATACTTATTTTGGTGGGGTGTATAAATTTCATATTGTTGTATGGTTTACACCAAATTAAATTTGAATGACTGTTTTTAATAATGCTTGCCATTTATTGATTCTGATCCAAGATCCAAAAGGATCTGATAATTGTGTCTATTAATACAGCAGGTATTTTAAATCTTTTACTTTAAAAAATATTTTAATTTGTATTGTGTGCAAATAAAATTAAGAAATCTATTTCCCATATAGGATTAATAATGTTAATTTACATGTTTGTTATGCATTGTCAACTTCCAGAAAGGACTTTAGGCAGTTTTGCATGAAATGATTATATGTAATAGACCTTGAAATAAAAGCTGTATAAATTACTGTAAAAGCTGCATATTGTGTTTGGAAAGAGGGAAGGCAATCTTACTAACCATGAATCCTAGCTCTCCAGATGATCAAGAAATGGGATGTTTTCTATAATTTGATATGAGTGTGCAAAAGGAAGTGTATTGTTTACTTTGAAAAATCTATATGATTCCAGACTGTAAACACTAATTACTTTCATACATCCTTTCTTAAGAGATATTGAAAGATGCAACAGAAATGCCTTTAACTGGTAGTATGTAAAATCCGAGGTAATTGCTGGATGGCCTTTTCTTCTGCTGATTCTTGTAAAACCCCACAATCTATATTAAAATATTACTTCTATAATAAATTTTAATGGGAGAAATTAGTTAATGTAATGTGCTGAATACATACAACTTGATAGTGCTGTTCAAATTTTTCATAGTAATGAAGGGGGAAGTCCTTTCTTTAAATGGAATTTGAGAAGTAAAGTCAGAAGTGCCATGTTGACGTATGGGTGGGCCTCTGTTTAATAAGCCCTTGCCTCTGAGGTCTTTCCTCAGAACCTTTAGAATACAGCCTGATTTGAGCTTTTGAAATTAACTTTTCTAGTGTAACCCTTCACATAATAATCCAGGATGTGAATTTGCTGAAAGGGCTGGGTAGTAAATATTGTACTTCACAAGTCTCTGTTGCAGTTGTTCATTTTGCCCTTGAGCATGAAAACTGGTATGTGTATGTGTGTGTTTAGATATGTATAGATATAGATATGTATGTATGCATGTTTATATAAGTGGGTGCAGCTGTGTGTGTAACTGGAGAAACTGATGAAATAGCTCGATGATCAACTTTGGGGAAAGCTAGCAGACAAAAATTTTTTTGACAGAATTTCCTATTGTTACTAATACGCTGACACATAGCAGAAATCCCTAAGAGGACACAGAAATTAGGTTGATCTAGAATAGATGGCTGTTGTCAAACTGACCGTTCATTTCATTCTTGGCAACTGTAGACAACCCAAAGCAGCCTCTTGTCCCACTGCTGACCACTGCTTCACAGCTGCATCTCCTGAATGAGAGGCTTTGCGTTCTCTAAAATTCTGGCGATCCTGATGG